ATAATGAGTTCATGACCTGAGGCTGCACACTGAATAGTATTTTCAGCCATGTTGGGAAAAGTTAAAGTTGTTTGAATATGTATTGTGTAATTGATCCATCTTAGTGGGGAATTAAATATTACAAGTTATTATTAGTGGCTTCATATTTGTCTCTGTTTTACCCCACTATAACATTTGATTTTAAAGTGGTTGTTGTTTTGATAGATTGTATTTTCTTTTATATATTGTACGCAGAGCTGCATGGGCTCCACACTGGGATGAGGAGAGGCCTGCTATTGCTGTGTGACACTGATTTTGCTGCTGCACTTTGTCTTTTAGAAATAAATCCAGTTTCCAGCCAGTCTGTGTCTGTCGTCACAACGCAGTCAACAGTTTGAAATCTGCTACATAAAAGTGGTGCCGTGACCCGGATTCATCTGATCAGCCGCTGCCGATCGCCGAGGTTGAGCTGGACACTTCTGACACCTGTGATATCAGCAAAATTATCTTGTGGATCTTTTTGAAACAAAAAACCTTCAGTGTTTTGTTAGTAGGCATTTCTCCAAGATACACGTGTTAGAGTTTAACTGGGCTACATTTACATGTTGTATTTTCCTGGGTGAGAAGCACTTTCGTATTTTTCTTGTTTCCAATTCTTTTTGTAGTTATTGTTAATTTCCTGTAAGTAACATGACTGGTAGGGCCCAAGGCTCCTTTAACCTTTTCACACCAGTTGCTGGGAGAGGTTGGAGACTGTCTGGGGCAGATGAAGTTAGGGACAGATCCATAATGTCTCATGATGAGCCATCAGAATCAGATGACATTATCCAAAATAATGCTCATGGGCGCCAGTTTTCAACCCCTGCTTTGAGTAATGACAGCACACACAAGGAGCTACGTGAGCTTATTGGTGAGCTGGGGACTCAGATAGGTGAATCAATCGCTAGTCGGTTATTATCCAGTCAAGTCCCGCTTGGTCCAAACCAGACAGCTCCAACTGAGTCCCCCAAAGTTAAGAGCCCTGATACCACTCTCGACCTCTCTAAAATGAACGTAGTGGTCAGACAAGATATCAAAGACCCACCTATCTACCGAGGTGATGACGCAGATAAGTACTCTGTTCATGAGTGGATAGATATGATGGAGGTGTATTTGGAGAAGAGAGGGTTGAACCATCTCCTTGGCAGAGCTAAAAACATTGTTAGGGTGGGTTTGAAAAGTAACTCATCTTCTGGTGCAGTGACCAACCCTGAGACCATCTATGCCATACTCAGGCATTATTTTAGTGATAGCTTTGGTTCTTGTCAACCACTGGCTGACTTCTATGCCACCCAAGCAGTTGCAAAAGAAACACCAGTAGACTATTGGGTGAGACTTAATATCGCTGCTGAGACAGCTGACAGGTACTTACAGCGCCAGGGAGGCAAAATGGAGAACATGGATGCAGAAATAGCCATGATGTTTATCAGAAAGTGTCCTGATCCCAGCCTCGCCTGTGTCTTCAAATGTAAGCCCATCAGTAAATGGACAGTAATGGAAGTTCAGGAAGCCATTGATGAACATCAAAGAGAGTGCCATGTAAAAAAGAAGAGTCTGAGCTCTGCCAGACCACATCCCCTCCTTGTGGCCACTGCAACAACCACAAGTGAATCACCTGAACTTGAACTGAACCACGCCCAAGTAGGTACAGTAAAGTGTTCCCAAGATAACCCGGTTAAGACCACTGGAGTTGTCGCTTCAGATTCAAGTGCTCTAGACCGCATGCTCAGTATGCTAGAGAGGGTGCTAGAGCGCACTAACCAGCCTGCCCATCCCGTAATCAAACCACAGCCTCCAGTCTTAGCCAGGTTCCCTTCATGCCAGGTTTTGTGGTAATAGCTCACATTCTACACGCACTCACTGCATGAGAGAAAGGAGATGTCTAAGTTGTCTGGAGGTTGGACATCAGAGAAAAGACTGCCCCAGAGCAACTGAGCCCATTACCCAACAAAGCAGTCCCCAGGGAAACTAGGATGCTTGCACTTGAGAGGGGACAGTGTGAGCGAGGAGTGTGAGACCCTCAATCCCAGTGATGACATACAGACTGTATACAAAGAAAGCTTGAAGTGTGCCCCACCTGGTACTGTTGTACTTTCCCAGAACATAGTAAGACTTGATGAAGCAGACAGCCTATTTTACACAAATGCATTGGTGAATGATAAAGTCTCTTTGCAGGCTCTTCTTGATACAGGTTCCATGGCGTGTACTTTGAGCAAAGAGGCGGAGCAAGAGTTAAAGAGCGCTGGGGTTGCACTGGAATTAAGCGACATTCGCACTGACATTATGCTAGTGGGCTGTGGTGGAGTTCAGGTTAAACCCAAATGTATATGTGAGCTGAAGATGGAGGTGTATGATTGTACGTTCAGAGTGCCCGCTCTAGTGGTCCCTGGTCAGAAAGATCAGTTCTCCCCATTTTTGGCAAGTCCTGAGTAAACCCGAATCAGCAGAAGCGCCCGAGATAGTACAGTTTCTCAATATGCTGTCTGGCATTAATAGGTGGAGGGGTGATAAAATGCCAGATGTCATTGGCACTGTCAAACTAGCTCAGGCAGTGACTCTACTCCCCAAGCAAGAACACCTTGTATGGGGCAGACTGCCAGCATCATCACCCCTCTCTGAGGGCAGTGCCATTCTGATTGAACCACCAAAATCTCAGACTCATAAAAAAGGTGTCATTGTCTGCAGAACTGTGGTTTCTATGAGTGGCGATAGGTGGGTCCCTGTTCGAATCCTGAACACCTGCGATAAACCTGTCACACTGAGACGAAACACTAAGGTGGCAGATACCTCCACTTGTGTAGCTGTTGCAGATCTTGAAGTAGCTTCTGATCAAAATCCAGGTGAGACACTTAAAGTCCAGAACCAGACAGTGTGTAGCGACACACAGAGTAGCTCTCCCTCCTCCACTAGCTTTCGTGACAGCCTGCAGAAGGTGGGGTTGGAAGATTTAGATCTCGACTCTTGTGAAGTCTCAGACCACTGGAAGGCTCAGGTACTACAACTGATCCATAGATATGAGGATGTTTTTTCCAAGAGTAAACTAGACTGTGGGCTGGCAAAGGATTTTGTCCATCGCATCCACCTGTCTGATGACCGGCCATTCAGACTTCCCTATCGACGCGTCCCCCCAGGGCAGTATCACAAGTTGCGACAGGTGCTCACAGAGATGGAGGAGCGTGAACTGATCCGCAAATCCAACAGTGAGTGGGCGTCTCCACTGGTACTGGTATGGAAAAAGAATGGAGATCTCAGAATATGCGTTGACTACCGCTGGTTGAATGCACGCACAATCAAGGATGCCCATCCTTTGCCCCACCAGTCAGACTGTTTGGCAGCCCTGGGAGGTAATGCAGTTTTCAGTGCCATGGATCTCACTTCTGGTTTCTACAATATTGTGATGGCAGAGGAGGATAAAAAACTAACGGCATTTACAACACCAATGGGGCTCTACGAGTTTAACAGACTCCCCCAAGGCCTGTGCAACAGTCCGGCAAGCTTCATGCGTCTCATGATGGGCATATTTGGTGACCAGAATTTCCTAACCCTGCTGTGCTACTTGGACGATTTGCTTGTTTATGCACCCAGTGAAGCAGAGGCTCTCAGGAGGTTAGAGATTGTGTTTAGCAGACTACGTGCTCACGGACTGAAGCTAGCTCCTAAAAAATGTCATCTGCTTAGGAGGAGTGTGAGATTTTTGGGTCATGTTGTGACTGAAGGTGGGGTTTCGACTGATCCTGACAAGGTTAAGGCGATCACTGCTATTTCAGAGGCTGACCTCATGATGGAGGATGGGGTTACGCCATCTCAGACGAAGATAAAGTCATTTTTGGGCATGGTAAAGTATTACCAGCATTTCATACAAGACTGTTCTAAGATTGGGAGGCCCCTTTTCACCCTGAATGCTGCTCCTAAAGGGAAAAAAGTAAAGGCTCGAGGTGCTGCTTCTTTCCGGAGGCTCAGCCCAAGTGACTGGAGAAAGGAGCATGTTGACTCGTTTGAACACCTGAAGGCTGCACTCCATGGCTCCGTTGTGCTTGCTTACCCTGATTTCAACAAACCATTTATCTTGTCAACAGACACTTCACAGGACGGTTTGGGTGCTGTATTGTCACAGGTCCAAGAGGGCGAGAGTAAAGCACGTCCCGTTGCATTTGCCAGCAAGGCCCTTGCCCGTGCACAGAGAAACTATCCCGCCCATCGTCTTGAGTTTCTGGCACTAAAGTGGTCTGTCTGTGACAAATTTAGCCACTGGCTGAAGGGGCATAGCTTTACAGTCTGGACAGACAATAACCCTCTAACATATATTCTCACAAAGCCTAAGCTTGATGCATGTAAACAAAGGTGGGTGTCAAAGTTGTCCCCCTACAATTTCAGCATCAAGTATATTCCTGGCAGTAAAAATGTCGTTGCAGATGCACTGAGCAGGCAGCCATTCATTCATAACCGTGTTAGTCAGAGACTCATGAGTGAACCCTATGCAACTCTGTTAGAGGAGTCCCGCTCACTGGCAAAAAGCGCCATCAGTATGTGACTCCATCCACATTAATCAGTCAAGTCCTGTCAGGTGTCCATGATGATGCTGGCCATCAGGGTCAAAGCAGAACTCTGTATCTAGCTAGGCAGAGATTTTTCTGGATCAACATGGAGCATGACATCCGTGAGCATGTCAAGTGCTGTAAACGTTGTGTTATCAGTAAGACACTTGAGCCTGAAGGAAGGGCCCCTCTTGAAAGTATTAAAACTACCAGTCCTCTTGAGCTTGTCTGCATAGACTTCTGGTCCACGGAAGCTCACAAAGGCAAGAGTGTGGATGTTTTAGTAGTGACTGATCATTTCACCAAGATGGCCCATGCTTTCCAATGTTCAGATCAGACGGCAAAACAAGTTGCACGTTAGTTGTGGGACAGATATTTTTGTGTCTATGGCTTCCCTCAAAGGATCCATTTAGATCAGGGTGCCAGTTTTGAGAGTGAGTTGATTCAAGAGTTGCTGCAGGTAGCTGGAGTGCAAAAGTCAAGAACAACACCTTATCACCCTATGGGTAATGGTCACACTGAAAGGTTTAACAGAACCTTGGGAAATATGATCTTCTTATGGCCTCTGACAGTGGACTCATCTCTGTGCTTGTCCTTCTTGACCTTAGTGCAGCATTCGATACTGTTGACCTTAATATCCTGTTAGAGCGATTAGAACATGCTGTAGGTATTACAGGTATTGCACTGCAGTGGTTTGTATCATATCTATCTAATAGACTCCAATTTGTGCATGTAAATGGAGAGT